CTTTCCCAATCAAAGACCATGTCTTCATCACTTTCCTCGTCGTATTACATGCCCCTATCACAACACATGATCCTATCACAAACATTCACCCATCACACAACATGCGCCCATAGTATGACAAAAAAAAACGGTCACTTATCATGTCCCCCTCACATAAATGTCATTTTGGATATGAAGTACACATATCAACAAGCGATGTTTACACAATAAACCGACAGGAACTTGTCTTCAGATGAAAGAGAGGTCAAACACAAGACGTGAGGGTGACAATAAAATATGTGTTCCATGTACCGGTTCAAAGGTTTACACATGCCGCATCAAGATGAACAGCCTAACGTTAACCTTCTAGCGCAGGCACCTTTGGTTGTATGCTCCCCAGGGAGCTGAGAATGAAAATCGTGTCCACACTGAGGCTTGGACCAGAGCAATAATGGTGCGCATTGAATATGATATCTCGCAAGGAGAAATCTCACTATAATTGCTGTATTAATCGCAGTCGTAGTGAGAAAGTGAGTGAGTGTGGTTTTACGCCGCTTTTAGCAACGTTCCTGCAATATCACGTCGGGGGACAGCAGAAACCGGCTTTACACATTGTACCCATGTCGGGAATCAAACCTGGGCCTTCGGCTTCAACCACTAGGCTACCCCACAGCTCAGTAGTAGTAGCAGTAGTAGTAGTAGTAGTAGTAGTAGTAGTAGTAGTAGTAGTAGTAGTAGTAGTAGAAAACATAATAGGGGTAGTAGTAGTAGTAGTAGTAGTAGAAATAGTAGCGGTTGTAGTAGTAGAAATAGTTGCGGTACTACTAGTAGTAGTAGCAGTAGTAGTAGTAGTAGTAGTAAAAGTAGTAGCAGTAGTAATAGTAGTAGTAGTAGTAGAAATATTAGTAGCGGTTGTAGTAGTAGAAATAGTTGCGGTAGTAGTAGTATTTCACCCGTGTTTATTCACAATTTGATAAATATGAAGCAATCGACGTACTCCCTTAGACTGTACAGCACAGAAGCCCCGGATTAAAACACTTAAATTCAGGATTAATTTCTTTGCCTGTCAGTCAAACCCACAGTGTCTGGAATTGCCTGACGAATGTTTTCTCAAGTTATTGTTATAGTGATTTCTGCAGGCTTTCTTTGGGAACTGGTTAGACCCGATGTGCAAAATGTTAATACAAATATGATAATCTCGCTGCGATTTATAATATTTTATTGAGCATGTTACGGTAAATATGTTTTATATGTATTTACTGTCTTTCGTGTATTCTTTTCAGCTCTTTTGTCATTAAGATTGTTTTCTTCAACATATGTTGATCAGTGTGTCTGAATAATAGCAAATACGAGCTGACGTATGTGTTACTTCAATTAACAACCCTACAGGCCACAAAGCGACCGTAGCCCTACGACAGTCGTACGCCAACGTTAAAGAATGGGAGTTACGATCGTCTTAGTGCTACGATAGCTTTGTTGAGTGTTCGCCAGCAGTGTGACCACCTTACTCTAGGCGACAGTATTGGCCAGCAGTGTGGCCCTATTACTCCAGGCGACAGTGTTTGCCAGCAGAGTGGCCCCCTTACTCAAGGTGACAGTATTCGCCAGCAGTATGATTCCCTTACTCCAGGCGACAGTGTTCGCCAGCAGTGTGACCCCCTTACTCCAGGCGACAATACTCGCCAGAAGTGAACCGCCTTACTCAAGTCGACTGTATTCGCCAGCAGTATGACCTCCTTACTCCAGGCGACAGTATTCGCCAGCATTATGACTCCCTTACTCCAGGCAACACAGTTCGCAAGCAGTGTGGCCCCCTTACTCCAGGGCCTCAATATTCGCCAGCAGTGTCACTCTCTATCACCAGACCGCTGCTAGGGCAATGACCACCAATGTGTCGAAACTGTCGTACATATCACACGAACGTGTTACATCTTCCTGTCTGACACGATGATTGATCAGCGTCAAGCAACTGGAGATAACAATACAGGAAACATATCACTTCTTATATACTCAGGGAAAGGCGTGTTACAACCCGTTTTGTAATAAAGTTGCAAAGTGTAATAATTATTACAAAACGGGTTGAAAGTCTTATTACAAAGTGAAATGCACATAGCAACCCGTTTTGTAATAAAGTTGCAAAGTGTAATAAACTTGGTGAATGATGCTGAAAGTGTTCAATTGGCACCCATAACTTGCTTATAAGTTCAATTAGGAACACAAACGGTCTTTACGTTAAAATTGGTCGTCATCATATCTACTTTGGATGAAAAGTTGACCTAACATTGGAATCATTTCAAAGTGTAATAATTATTACACTTTGCAACTTTATTACAAAACGGGTTGTAACAAAGGCGTACGGAGAGACAGTGAAAATATATTTAGCAAGGTCAAAGGTTCTAAAGATTAAAAATATAGGTCACAAAGGTTTAAAAGTTTACAACAACAAAACCGGTAATTTTTTTTTATCTAGATTCCATGTTTTGAAACTTACCTTGTAGTATTTTATCCATATTAATGACAAAATATTGCCGAATGCAATAACACCCAAAGTACCTGTCACTGCACTATCTTCCGATCGATTTATTGCTGAATAATATTTATTATTATTGAATTATTTAATGCAGCATATCAACAAATATGTCCCTGGTGGAAATGTTAGGAGACAGTATGTGGATTTCATGTCTAACACGTGTTTAATTCTGCAGACGTTCCCTTTTTCAACATTAAACTATTTCCGGATCCATTGAGGCATTGCAGTTTTACAGGCATACAGAAGAATTTAAATTCCTTTCTTCCCTAAAATGGGATTTGTAAGGATGTTGTACATTTACGGTTTGCTATGGCAGTGCCCTGGGGACCTAGAACAGTTAACCGCCCTCGAATGTTGATTGGTTGAATGCGACTCATTGTACTCAAGAAGGAAGGAAGGAAGGAAAGAAGGGGGGAAGGAAGGGAGGGGGGAGGAAGGAAGGGAGGGGGGAAGGAAGGGAGGGAGGTAGGGAGGGGGAAAGGGAGGAGGGAGGGAGGGGGAGGACGGGAGGAAGGGAGGATGAAGGAAGGAAGGAAGGAAGGAAGGAAGGAAGGAAGGAAGGAAGGGAGGGGGGAGGAAGGAAGGAAGGAAGGGAGGGAGGAAGGAAGGAAGGAAGGAAGGAAGGAAGGAAGGAAGGAAGGAAGGAAGGGAGGGAGGGAGGAGGAAGGAAGGAAGGAAGGAAGGGAGGGAGGGAGGGAGGAAGGTGGGAGGGAGGGAGGGAAGAAGGAAGGAGGTGGAATAAGGAAAGAAGGAAGGAAGGAAGGTAGGAAGGAAGGAAGGAAGGAAGGAGGGAGGGAGGGAGGACGGAAGGAAGGAAGGAAGGAAGGAGGGAGGGAGGACGGAAGGAAGGAGGGAGGGAGGAGGGGGGAGGAAGGAAGGAAGGAAGGAAGGAAGGAAGGAAGGAAGAGGGTGTGCGAGTCTCTCAGCACATGTTTGGCTGCTGTTTATTTTATTACTTTGTCACATGTTGTATCACATATACCATTAAGAATGCTTGATTTTGATAGTTTAGATAGAGGTATCCTTTTTTCCTACTGAAACCTCTTTCAAATCAGGACTTTCCACACAAAATCTGTGCGAAGAAAACATCAATACACAAAACATTGATCCATTAAAAAATGACTACCAATACCCATCAGCGCTCGGTTCCAAATTAAAATAACAGCTATCTTCTGAACAGCTGGACGACGTCAAATTTAAAAAAACAGTAGGTTTATCTCCTACATATACACAGAAAACTATAGGCTAAAGAACAGCACGTGGCCTGCAGGCTTACGAGACACACAGTACAGTAAAATATCACACTAGAATAATACTTCATAAAATGGTATACAAATATAGATATTTGATAAAAAGGCTGATTTTCAGCGATGCATTCACTTAATTTCCATCTCTATTCTGCCTTTTACTCCAAAAAGGAATCTGCTTCGTCGGATAATCGAAACGAGTTATTCCTCTGCCGTTGACATTTTAAATATGTATATTGGCATTCATTTGACTTTTTAAGGAAGTAACAATGATTTGAAGCTACGTTCAATATATATATATATTGGACAAATACAAAATTGCAAATGCTTTCTGAAAAAGTTGCGATTTGAAGACATTACCGAAAAGATATCGAAAAAAAAATATTATGAGGGAATTTTAATGTAAACCGTCATGCTCTTTAAATGTTGAATATGTGTACCAAATAGTATTGTTTTTGCATCCTTTCGTACAACACTGCTCAGTACCAAATATCATCTTATAAACATATATATACATGTCTGTTTATCTTTATATATTATATGATATATATGTCGACACAAAGTGATGAACGTAGCTTCAAACCGTTGTTACTTCCTTACAAAGACAAATGCATGCCAATCAAGTCGGTTTGATTTCCTGAAGCATGGCGTCATGGTGCCTTGTGTTGTTTGCAGGTATCGCGTCTAGCAGTGGCCATCAATTGTAAGGCATCTCTGGGTAAGAAAAATAACGGAAAATGATTTTGACAGTTTGACTGTTGGACGGAAATCTGTTTCCTGTGACATGACCGTCAGAAATGTACACTTTTTTTTATTATTATGCAGGTTTTATTATCATGGCGATGTCACGTATGATGAATACCCCACGTGAAGAAACACAGCTATCTCCAAGGTTCCGCCGAGTTAGACTCACACTTTGTCTATGAACCGGTTTTTTTAAAAAAAATAATTGTATTTTTTTCTTCAAACGAACCTGCCCTTTTCTGCTGTTTTCATATGGACGCGTGTGGAATCAAGGAAATTAGGCTTAATTTAGTTGGATCGAAAAATATAAATACCAGTATATAAATTCCACGGACATGGTGCAGGACTAGCTCGTCGTAAGTGACTGTTTCTGTGGAAATGTTCAGTCTAGCGTTTCGGAGCATGCGCATAACCAACTTGATTTATCCACCTATGCCAGACCGGCCTGTCATCACGTGACTAATGACCAGTTAAAACGGATGAAACCACGAGCACCAACACTGCGAGTTGAGTGACGAGACGAGTGACGAGTGACTCACGGATAAACATGATCCCAGCTCATGACCTGCCCACCTTCCTGGCTATTTTGGTATTTATTGGTGAGATGTTTTTTGTTTCGCATGCTATTTAAATAGAGACAGAGACGTCACCCACTTCACAGACCAGTAAGACGGTCAAGGACTGCAGATATGTTCGCCTTTCTGTTCCTCTGTTCTCTTGGTGAGTACGAGATCTTTCTGTTTCATCAGTGAAATAAACTGGAAACATGCGTCCCTATTCAGAAAGTTAGCAAATGTTTTTATTGATTTTTAGACGATGCAAAAGGTATGTTTTAGATCATACCGTTCTTATTCAGCTGCTCTAATGAAGACAGGTGTCACTGGATTGTCTGGTCTTCGCTTTATTGTCTGGTCAAGACTCGATTATTTACAGGCCGCCGTCGCATGATCGGCGTCAGGCGCAAAAAACACACCTTTTTCAGCAATGATAGTAGCAGGTCCTATCAGGGGTGGACAGACTTACCCTTTTCGCGAACACCTGATGGCATCACTGATTTTCAGGTCGGTCGGGTAGCCTAGTGGTTTAAGCGTTCGCTCGTCACGCCGAAAACCCGGGTTCGATTCCCGACATGGGTACAATGTGTGAAGCCCATTTCTGGTGTCCCTCGCCGTGATATTGCTGGAATATTGCTAAAAGCGGCGTAAAACCGAACTCTCTCACTGATTTTCAGTGATCCGTTCATATAATTTTCAAGCCGTTTGCCCTTTGCTCCCAATGGAATCTGTCTCAGCAGATAATCGAGTGTTCTTTGGCATTGCCGTTTTATGTTATTTTGACTGTTATACTGTTTGGGAGGGGAATGGTTCGATGCCGGTATTATCACAAAAGACAGGTTTCGTTACTCGGGCGCAAGGTGTGTTGTACAGGAATGTAAACTTGTACTTCCATCTTCTCGGTTGTGAGAACATGAAAGGCTTTAGCGTTCAGTAGTCGGACGGAATGTCCTTGTTCGATACCCCACCCCGGTACAACGATTTCAGCGCCGTAGCCAGCCGGGGAGGGGCGGGGGAGGGGGTGTTTTAGAGTTTTATTTGAATCAAGTTGGGGACAAGTGATAATTGTACAAATATTTGCCCCCTGTCAAAAAAAGGTAACTACGGCCTTGGATCATTTGTCATACAGCTGATTATTGATGAAATTTTCTCAACTGGGATGTCTATGCAGTAATTTGGCGATGAGTGGCAAATGCTCATATTACTAGCAGGACTCAGGAAAAGTAACTTATGATCAGAATCATTTTTCAAGCAGGTATATGCTTCAGTCCATAGACATGCTACTGACGTTACCATGGATACACAAACAGTTTTATTTCTTTTTGCATTTACTCAGTTAAAATAATGTTCAAACCTGACCTGTTTTGTCACTTTACGCTGTTTATTTGCTACATTATTTAATCTAAATTGCATGATTTCATTGTATTTAATAATTCATGTCTGAAAATACTTTCCCTCTGCATTTTGTGACTATTTGATGTAAGCTTAAAAGGAATCCACAAAAATATTTTTATTGTAAGCCGAGGATAACAGAAATATTAATCCTGCTTAATGCAACATAATTTCACTACTTCTTCCACGTAAAACTAGCGGGTGTTACTTATTATTGACATCTGTTATCATAACATTCGATAACGAGACAATGTTGATGATGACGCAAGACGTGCGTTAACACTTCGCCCTTGGGCACTCACAAATCAGTGCATGACGTACCGCGATGTAACCACTGTTTGGCGTCAGATATAGCGTTTCATTTATCATTGATGAAGGCCAATTTGTCAATAGCTTTTAAACTATTAAATTGCAGTTCTATTCCTGTCAACCTCCAACAGATATTTAACAGTTTATTTGTATTTTTCATATATAGTATGCGTTCCTCAACAATAGATATATTTGACTCAGTAACTAACTGTTTATGAAAATAAAGAACGCACGGTTTAATTAAGTTCGTTCCGTGTCCATATTGGAACTTTTTCATTATAAATCCTACAATGGTCAGACATAGTTGCCAGGTAACCAGTGTTAAATGAAATATTCAGTTTCAAGAGGATTTTTGATCAAAAGAATCACGTTCCTTAAAAATTATTAAAATATACACATGTTCACAAACATACAAAAATAAACTCCTCGAATATCCAGATATTATTCCTGTGAACGGATCTTACATTGTTATTATTATTGTTTTTTTTATATATTTTTGTTGTTGTTGTTGTTGTTGTTGGAGACAACACAATGTTGATAACAGCGAGTGTGTTTTTTTGTTTCATTTGGAGAAATTGGTTTATCTCTTTAATACACAGGGCTGTAATTACATATATGTATGTCATGTACAGTAACTAATGTGGTGTTCTTGTCTACTAGGCTGTGCCATCGCGGTACCAATCAACCAAGGTGAAACAACCATGACCCCTGCTCTGACAACGGGAGGTAACTCTGCATCGTACCCTGTCGCCAACATCCTGTCATCTATTCGCTCCGCCCTGGGTGCTGGTGCTGGTGATGATGCGGCCGATCTAACAGGTAGATATATATAAAAGCGACAAAATCCCTAATCATAAAAAAATTGTCTTCTAAAAAACAGAGTCCACTGCAGAATCGGGGGCTAGGATTGTCAGCACCATACCCGTGCTCGTAGGTGTTGCACTAAACGAAATAGGGAATTGTCATGATTGTTTAATTATCTAGTTCTGCAGATAGCCTCCAAAACGCTACCCAGTACTGGGCACATGCGTCATTGGACATCACCTCGGGTTCTCCAGCAACATCAAGTTGACATGCCTGCCCTGATATAATATAGATACTGGCGGTCGGGTAGCCTAGTGGGTAAAGCGTTCGCTCGTCACGCCGAAGCCACGGGTTCGATTCCCGACATGGGTACAATGTGTGAAGCCCATTTCTAGTGTCCCCGCGCCGTGATATTGCTGGAATATTGCTAAAAGCAGCATAAACCCAAAATCACTCATTTACTAACTGCTCAAAACACTGTGAAACCCAATTCACTCTCACAGTTGAATTGGATCACTTGCTTCTCTGCAACATGACCAGTGCAACTTTCTTGCTTGATCCTTAATGAAATACATCAACACATCAGTTTTTACCGTCCTGGTAGTAATTCAACCTGAATAACTATTACATATAAAGCGGGGGGTTGGGTCCTTGTTTTCCTTGTTCGTGTGGTTGTCATCATCATTACCTGTTTTTCTTATTTTGCATTAGTGAGTGAGTAAGTGAGTTGGGTTTAACGCCGCTTTGAACAGTATTACAGTTACATCGCGGCGTGTCAGCTTAATGTGGGAGGAAAGCCCGAAGTGATGCAGGTATCAGACGTTTACCACTTCGGTGAAACCCACGAGTACGGGTATGGTGCTGACAAACCTAGAAACATAATCGGGGCGAATCGGGATTCGAACCCACAATCATAGGTTTTTGGCGTGCCCGAGGGACGCAACTCTGCACAGCGAATCGCGGCGCCTTAGACGACTGGGCTACCCGTACCCCCTATTTTGCATTATGTAATTATTTAATTGTATTTGGGCCTGGGAGGGCAGTTGGTTGTTGTGGAAAAGGGTATTCAGGATACTTATAAAGTGAATGGTATAATTTAATTTATCATCCCAAACTGGCTCCCACAGGAGATATCGCTTGGGTGAGATCAAGCGATATCTACACTGTAGATATCTCTGCAATGAAATTGCATCACAATGCTTTGCAGACCATTGTGACAATCGCAATCAATCACAATCAAATGACATCACTAATGGCTCTGCTATTGAAGCTGCTAGCAGTACTTTTTACACTTAATACACTGCTTATTACTTTCTACAATCTGAAAAAGTTGGAAGAATGATGTTGGATGATAAATAAAATGTCACCCTCTTGTCTTTTGATATCAAATATATCAACAGTCGTTGATAAAAGTGGAAAAAAAAACCTCGGCAGCGTCGGAAGTTTTCCCACTTTTATCAAGTCGTGTTGATATATTTGATATCAAAGGACACTCGGGTGAGATTCTCTATATAATACCCATCGTGTAGCATGGGACCAAATTTTGGATCGACTGTGATGAGAGCGTCGCAACTATATCATATCAGTTTCCGACTACATGTAACGGGACTTGAGAAACTTACCCGATCACACAGTGGTGACTGCAACCCAGAAGCTTTGACAAAATCACTTACGTAAATATCCTCCACTATACCCTACAACATGCGAGTACAACCCGTCAATCCATTTCAGTCCATTTCTTATTTCTGGATGAAGTTGTCAGCTGTGATTTGTACGTTACATAACATCATGTAGGATGACATAAAACCGCCGCCCCGGGGTACAGTAACGGGAGGACCGCCAGGCTTGATGGCGCGTACACCTCTCTGCATATACAGCATTAGCTTGAAGCATTCACTGCGTTAATCTCGCTCGTTAAACACCTTATTAATAGACCTTTTTATGAATAAACTTAGCGTCCGATCATTTGAGGGGGATGGGTGGTTATAATTTGTTCCCAGGGTTGCACACAATTAGTCGGTTAGAACGCAACGTGACCTGGGTTAAAACCATGTTTGGTTCTTCACTGAAGTTAGTGAGTAAGTGAGTATAGTTTTACGCCGCTTACAGCAATAATACAGCAATATCACGGCGGGGACGAAACAATGTGGACCTTTGTCCCATCTCAAACTTTTTGTCCCCTGAGCAGCTCTTACAAGGACTCATACTCTCACTAGACATGGCAATGTCGTATAAAAGAGCAAGTATTATTCAGGAACATGTGTGTATTCGTATGCAGACCCAGTAGGGAGTTTGACTCATATTCTCACTAGACATGGCAATGTCGTATAAAAGAGCAAGTATTATTCAGGAACATGTGTGTATTCGTATGCAGACCCTGTAGGGAGTTTATTTCATCAATCAGTAGACATGGCAATGTCGTATAAAAGAGCAAGTATTATTCAGGAACATGTGTGTATTCGTATGCAGACCCAGTAGGGAGTTTGACTCATACTCTCACTAGACATGGCAATGTCGTATAAAAGAGCAAGTATTATTCAGGAACATGTGTGTATTCGTATGCAGACCCAGTAGGGAGTTTGACTCATACTCTCACTAGACATGGCAATGTCGTATAAAAGAGCAAGTATTATTCAGGAACATGTGTGTATTCGTATGCAGACCCAGTAGGGAGTTTATTTCATACTCTCACTAGACATGGCAATGTTGTATAAAAGAGCAAGTATTATTCAGGAACATGTGTGTATTCGTATGCAGACCCAGTAGGGAGTTTATTTCATACTCTCACTAGACATGGCAATGTCGTATAAAAAGAGCAAGTATTATTCAGGAACATGTGTGTATTCGTATGCAGACCCAGTAGGGAGTTTGACTCATACTCTCACTAGACATGGCAATGTCGTATAAAAGAGCAAGTATTATTCAGGAACATGTGTGTATTCGTATGCAGACCCAGTAGGGAGTATATTTCATACTCTCACTAGACATGGCAATGTCGTATAAAAGAGCAAGTATTATTCAGGAACATGTGTGTATTCGTATGCAGACCCAGTAGGGAGTTTGACTCATACTCTCAGTAGACGCGACAATGTCGTATAAAAGAGCAAGTATTATTCAGGAACATGTGTGTATTCGTATGCAGACCCTGTAGGGAGTTTGTCTCATACTCTCAATAGACGCGACAATGTCGTATGAAAGAGCAAGTATTATTCAGGAACATGTGTGTTAAAACGTTCGCTCGTCACGCCGAAGACCCGGGTTCGATTCCCAACATGGGTACAATGTGTGAAGCCCATTTCTTGTGTCCCCCGCCGTGATATTGCTGGAATATTACTTAAAGCGGCGTAAAACCATACTCACTCACTCTTAATGACCCTATGAATATATACCGAGTGACGACCTCGATGATTTGTAGTCACGAGTCAGTGACGTTCTACTGTGTAGTCCAGTCACACATTTTCACGGGTCACGTGGGAGACCAGTTACATTGCTCACGCTAAATGACGTTGGATCTAGACGCTAATACGTCTCGCCGACAAGGTGGCTAGAGATGACATTCCCGGTTTATTGGTGGCTTAAACCGACCCGAAGCTTCCTGCACCCAGACAACAAGTGAAATAAACGTTCTCTTATTAACCTGTCACACTTGTCATGATGAAATATACACATAACTCAAGCGTACAGCAGGACGTATGTTGTGCATTGTTTACATGTACACTTTAGACAAAGTACAGTAAACGATGCTTATAACCGTAGTTCATTATAAGCTGATATACCACATATATACAACAAAGGGCCGGGACCGAAAAATAAATTCGTTATATCCGTCTGTTCGTTATAAGGTCTTCGTTATAAATGCAGTTTACTGAATTATATAGGGACTCTTTGACCCATGGGATATGACGTATACAGAAATATGTAAAACACTTACAGATTATTATGTGTTCATATTAATGAGACATTATTCATTTCCACGGTTTGTGTTTTTAACTTCAAACAACACTAGATGCATGGGTAAGGCTATTAAAAAACACTATTTTAGCGGTTTTCAGGAAGCCCGTGTCTACGATTTAAACATGACCAAGCTTTTCGCCCAATCTGATTTCTTAGAGGTACACGTAGATACAATCGGCGTCATTATTTTATCCATACCTTTGTATTTCATCATAACAGAGGCTCAAACGTTGCAAGTGTAGGAAAAAACAAAGCTCGTTGTCAACCATCTTATCATGTCTCAAATGTTCATACCCTTATTTCATAAATTTTTCCCCAACTTTAAGATTTGACATTTGAAGTGGGCGAAACGGCGCTTATCATATATCCCCTTCTTTCATTCAAACGCACGTGTTTCGATATATAGCTTGGATGTTTAATGGGTAAAAAAGCTATCATGAAAAACAATGTGACCATGCCAATGCCATTAAACAGTTAATATTATCATCCGTCGAAGCCCCGAATGATTAGAGAAAATGTTATGTTTTGTTTTAAACTACATGCCCTAAGTTCTGTGAAGTATACTACTCAAAAGATGTTAATGATCACCCGAATCTTTCATATTGATAATGTTAAACTGTCATGGCATGAGAGATTAACTATTGTAATATGAAAGAATCAGGTGATCCTTTACTTCTTTTGAGTAGTATATAGACACGAGTGTATGATACATAGAATGACAAGAAACATCATTGATTCCATAAAACGAAACATTTACAATTGAACGACAATCACATGATCTTGACAAGTGAGATCACGTCATTTGATCACGTGATGTATATTCACAATTTATTCATGTTAGCCATTTAGGTTTGGAAATTTGCAAGTTTGCTGTAAGCTTAGTTTGTCAAATGTTTAACGCCAAACTCAGCAATAGTCCAGACGAAGTATGTAAGGAATCGAGTCTGGACCACACAAACCAGTGTTTGATATTATGAGCAACGTCCCATGCCGTCGGGGAACGATGACCCTCACTCAACACAGTCACCGTGTTCGTGGGAACCTATTCTAGCCTGCAGGGGGCATGGGTGGCCCAGTCTTCTAAAGCGCCGCGATTCGCTGTGCAGAGTTGCGTACCTTTGGCAAGCCAGAAACCTATGATCGTGGGTTCGAATCCCGATTCGCTCCGATTATATTTCAAGGTTTGTCAGCACCATACCCGTGCTCGTGGGTTTCACCGAAGTGGTAAATGTCTGAGACCTTCATCACTTCGGGCTTTCCTTCCACATTAAGCTGACACGCCTCGATGTAACTGGAATACTGTTAAAAGCGGCGTTAAACCAAACTCACTCACACATTTACTATTCTAGCCCGGTCTCCACAAAACAATACTTGATGGTGTAGAACCCGTGGCAGTAGAACATCGGGAAAGTACGGTAGAACGATAAAGCGCCCAGTGTCGCCTCGAAGTATGCTGTGTTGTCGGCTGGCCCCGAATCATCACTAGTACACCATTCTGAATCATAAAACACCAACATATTTAAAGGATGTGAGCACCGTCGCCTACATGAATGTTGAGAACGTCATATAACACCGAGGTGACAGCTGACACGAGTCCTACACACATTACCCATGGACAGGTCGGGGACCGTCTCACACATACATCAGTGCGGGAGGCCATGAAGACATGGGGGCAGACAGATACATCCATGGTAGGTCTGTCTCCACGTGTGTTGAATAGGGAACAGCTTCATCCTTGGCACCTTCAAGGCAAGAACATTCTTGTTGTTTCAGTCACGGAAGATTAATTCTGTATATTACAGTCGGGGAATAATTTATCTGGCTGATAAACTCTTGTAACCATGAAGTTCCTGACCATAAGATTTGAATATTTAGTGATAAAGCGACGGATAGGGTTGTTTATGAATCATAAACTTTAGGTGTCATTAAAAAGTCGCATTATGTATATAGTGCCGTGTATAACAGGCGCGACAGCATGATGGAAACATCGGACCACATCTTAAGTATATATAGGTATATGTTATGTATATGATACGTATATATTATGTACATATTATGTATATGTTATGTATATGTCATGTATATATTATGTATATGTTATCTGTTTCTTATGTACATAGTTTTCCTAAATGTTATGACGTCACGTAACTATATCTTACTACTTCATGTCCGTTATTCAGTTATGGCCTGATGAGACTCGTACGTGGTACGAGTTGAAAGCGCTAGCCTATTAAAACTGTGTTCAATCTTACTCCACTTATTTAATTATTACTATATACATATATATATGTTATGTATATGTTATGTTATGTATATGTTATGTATGTTTATATGTTATGTATAGAAAGGAATGAAAGGCAACGGCTCACTCAGAAATAATATGCATGGACAAATCTAAAGTTATAGACATGTTATTATACTTTCTTAACTATTTTGTATTGTACCATATGTTTCCGTGCTTTTTTGAGGTGAACAATTGACTTGCATTTGCATGTGTTTGTAACGGTTGCCATCGTAGGGGCAGAATGCACTCACCGTTATGCGAATACCTTGTATCATCACTACTTAATAGTGTTTAATAAACACGTGCTACATTCGATAGAGAAATGACTTATTTACATGAATATAACATATACCAATATACAACATCACAGCTTCTAGTTCAAGAAGGCTGCTACTCATTCAAGTTTTTGATAAATATATAACTTTCAATGAAAGTGACGCTCTTCCAATTCAGATTCTGTGAAATACTTACCTAAAACATGTGATGGTGGTTACGGTAGGACATAGTTGAGGTTAGGTCATATAAATATGAAAATACATGTGTGACGTTATTTGGAAAATTGACTCCAATCACAGCTTGAGCTTCAATACTGTGTCTCCACTACTTAGCCCAAGGGAACCTGTTCGGCTGAAAAGTCAGAGTGACAGAATGACATTTTGAATCTTATTGTTTGTCGCAATAGTCAAAATTTACGGACATTTTGTACAGCGACTAGATATTTTGTACAGCGACTAGACATTTTGTACAGCGACTAGACATTTTGTATGGCGACTAGACATTTTGTACAGCGACTAGACATTTTGTACAGCGACTAGATATTTTGTACAGCGACTAGATATTTTGTACGGCGACTAGACATTTTGTACGGCGACTAGACATTTTGTACAGCGACTAGATATTTTGTACAGCGACTAGATATTTTGTACGGCGACTAGATATTTTGTACGGCGACTAGATATTTTGTACCGCGACTAGATATTTTGTACGGCGACTAGATATTTTGTACAGCGACTAGATATTTTGTACCGCGACTAGACATTTTGTACAGCGACTAAATATTTTTTCAGCTACATCTGCAAGCCAGGTTTTTTTGTAAAATAAAATTATGAGCCTAAATATTTTTTGAGGAAAAACATCTTGCAACAATTTTTTTGGCTGTATTTTTTATTTAACAGTCAGAAGCATTTTTTTCAAGGATTTTCTGGGACAATAAATTTCAATAAAATCCCTTTAGACCCCTGTAGACGCATTCTAATCTGAGTGGACAACCACTTCGGCTCATAAACTCCTTCAAACGAGTTCAAACTGGACATAGAAACGGAAATATCAACTTGGTGTTAAGGATCACGATCAACTCTTTCTGATCCTCCTTATGGGTTGAATGTCACGAAGGTGTCTTTTGCTGCAAACCGTACAATACTTCAGATGCATTTATATATACATAATGTCCTTAATGACACACAAATAGGTATACTTTATTTCATCAGAAGTCAACTTTGATTCCGTATAAGAAACAAAACCCCATTTCGCGGGGTCCGCCATTTTGTCTTCTTGTGTTGTAGTATTCGTTTACAATCTTGAATATCGCCATGGACATCTAAATGTCACTGGCACTCTACTGAAGGTCGCAAAGTGTGGATCTGGTTGTCAGGGTCGGTAGCTTGGATGATTGCCTGTTATCCTACCAAGCGGTGTCATCATCATGACTAACTGATGACTGTGGCATATAGAGAATCTCACCCGAGTGTCTTTTGATATCAAATATATCAACACGAGTTGACAAAAGTGGAAAAATTCCGAGGCTTGCCGAGGATTTTTGCCACTTTTATCAACGAGTGTTGATATATTTGATATCTAAAGACACGAGGGTGAGATTTTATTTATCATCCAACATCTTTCTTCCAACTTTTTCAATTTGTAGAAAGTAATTAGCAGTGTCTTCAGTGTAAAAAGTACTGCTAACAGCCCCAGTAGCAGAGCCATTAGTGATGTCATTTGATTGTGACGTCATGATAACCAGTGACGTCACAATGGTCTGCAAAGCATTGTGATGTATTTTCATTGCAGCGATATCTACAGTGTAGATATCGCTTGATCTAATCCAAGCGATATCTCCTGTGGGAGCCAGTTTTGGATGATAAAATACAGACCCATACACTGGCACTCTACTGAATGTCGCAAAGTGTGGATCTGGTTGTCAGGGTCGGTAGCTTGGATGATTGCCTGTTATCCTACCAAGCAGTGTCATCATCATCACTAACTGATGACTGTGGCATAATACAGACACATACACACATTTTCGATACATACTTCTTTGCAACATCAGTCTTCAACTCCGTTGTTTCTATTTCAGACATCGCCGATGACCTCACGGAAGCTGACGTTGATGATCTTCTAGACGACGGCGACGATGCTGCTGTTGAAAACAGACCACTAAAGGATGATGACATGGCCGACGACCTTACCGACACAGACATTGATGATCTTTTCGATGAAGACGATTATGATGAAGACGACGGTAGTAGGATCGCCGTGACTGATGATGGTGTGGGGGATGATCTGATTGACGCCGACGTTATGGACTTCCTTGATGATGCAAAGAGCAGCGACGATAAATACTACGACGACCAAAGCGAACAAGAGGATCACTTCGATGATATCGGGGAAGATCTGACGGAAACAGATGTTGACGATTTATATGATGATAAAGATGATGACGATGAAGATGATGATGACGATGACGATGAGGATAGCAGCTTCTATAGCAAGATGAAGGAAGTACGTGACAATATCAGAGAAGGTCTAGCAGATGCTAGCAGCAATGAAGGTGGTGATGGCAGGCCAAATGAGGAGACCAATAAGGACGATTCATCTATTAAAGATCTTGATGACTTCATTGGTGATATCGACAGCTTGTTGCTTGATCTGGAAAGAAGCGATGAAGGGGAGGATGAAGAATTTGATGATGATTTTGTCAAATTTATGAAGGATTTCAAGTCTCTAGCTGCTAACGGCAGTATCAGAAAGACTACTGACATGTCCGATGAAGATATTGACGAATTGTTTGACGACGTTGATGATGACAAGGAGGAAGGGGAGAAAAATGGTAATGAGCAAGCTAGTCTGAAGGAGAGGGTGGCCCATATGAAGGAAAGAATAGCACGAATGAAAGCTGGAAATGGTGATGATGGTGATAGTAAAGAAAATGCTAGTCTCAAAGAAAATTGGGTCGACATGAAAGAAAGAATAGCAGAAATGAATGCAGGCAACGATGCTGATGATGATAATGATAGTGATGATGATGATGATGATGATGATGATGATGATGATGATGATGATGATGATAACAGTGATGAAACACCTAATCTCAATGAACGGATGGAAGATATAAGAGAAAGAATATTAGACATAAATGCTGCTGATGGTCTCAACGAAAGGATGGAAGAAATGAAAGAAAGAATAGGAGAAATGAATGCCCGTAATGGTAACGATGATGACGATGATGACGATGATGACGATGATGGTGATGATGATCGTGTTGGAGAACTGAGAGAAAGGTTACATGATTTGACCAGAAGCCGCAACGGTGAAGATGACAAAACAAGTATGGAAGAATTGGTTGAGGGCATTAACGATAGAATCGAAGATGCACATGATGTTGATGATGCTGATTCATCCGATGATGATGATGACGATGACGATGATAAGCCTACATTAGCCGACATCATTGGTGACATAAGAGACAGAATTGAAGACCAAGTTAGCGGAGAGGTTGAAGGCGATGATAATGATGACCATGATGATGATGTTGATGCTAATGCCGACAAACCTACATTCAAAAATTATGTCAATGAAATGAAAGAGAGAATAGCAGAGCGGATGGATGATACTGCGTCTGATAGTGGTGAAGATGATGATGATTCCCGTGAACAGTCCGCTCTCAGTAACAGAATGGAGTCGATAAAGGAGAAGATACAAAAACTAAGAAACAAAAGCGATGATGATGATGATGATGATGACGATAATGATGATGATGGCATTCAGACGCCACAGCGGACCCGGCTGGAGATGCTCAGACAGACGGTAAGGGCCTCCCGGGAACGGCTGGATGATCTGAAGGATACTTTGCAGGACCTCGCTGTGGTTGATGCTGACAAAGATGATGATAAAGATGACGACAGCGACTACGATTCCTTCGACAGTAGTGACGATGCCGACTATGACACCGATGACAGTAAAGAGGATGCTGAGGTTTATGGTGGAGACGACAGTCAGAGCCTCCGACTTAGGTTGAGGCATCGGTTACGGTCTCAACGCATCACCGAGAACAGCGCCGATAGTGTTGGTGATGAAGATGATGATGATGATGATGGCGGCAAAGAAACGTCTTCGGCGATGCCTCTATACGACGACGACAGTGATGATAAAGGTACCCTATAATTGATTTCATGAATGAAGCAAATATCATTTTTAATTCGTTGCGGGAGTACAAGTAGTTCGTTCGTCTAAGGCTCCACAATTTGCGCTCCTTGGGGTGTCAGAATCCCATGATCGTTGGTTCGAACAATGAGTCGCATATTGTTCTCGTGACGTTAACCACTTTTGTGCTGACAAACATAAAAAATAAGGTGCACGCATGCACGCGTCTGTCTGTGTGTGTATGTCTGTGTGTGTATTGTGTGTGTGGGGGGGGGGGGGGTGGTGTGGAGGGTGGGGGGGGTGGGGGGGTGGGGTGGGGGGTGGGGGTGTAGGTGGGTGGTTGCTTGTACTAGTCCGGACTGATGCCGATTTATAGTGCTAGCTCACTGAGATACCATGCCGCAGTTTAACATGAATACCCCTCTCAGACACAGTATACTCACTCCAAGCCGACCCGAGCCAACGGAACTCGAACCCACGTTCATGTGTAGTTTCTGTCCCCCCCAAAAGACGTACCTCAGCAAAGCGTCACAGGGGCGCTCTTGTCGACAGGGCCACCTGTTCCGATTGCGATGTTCATAAATATCCTCACTACAGTCGTTTGCACCCACATGTCATGATTTCATTCAGAAAAGAAAGGATTTGGTTAGAATTAAAACACATCTGTGACATCACTCTATTGTTTGAACGCTCCATTACTTTTCAGGAATGGAGAGATATTTGTCAACTATACATTATCTTGAAACAGCATTTGAATTAATTTCCACTAGGAATGGACGGAACTATTTTTACATTTATTGACAAGTGAATAATATAATGTCAATTTTATTTCCGAAAACATGTGTTGCCAGCGGGGTTCGAACCCGCATCGTTTGATTTGAAAAACGTAATTTATACGTAATTTATACGTAATTTAAACGTAATTTAAACGTAATTTAAGTAGGGGAATATCCTCGTAACTCCCCATTCCTTAAAATGGGGCCTCTGCTCCATTATTTTTAAGGAATTGAGAGTTACTCGGACGACCCCTCCACGTAAAGCTTTCTTCATCTTAACATCTTAAATTTTGCGTTTTTGAAAACATAGTGTAAATCGAAATATTTGCATCAGAAATCTCCATCCAGATTTGACATGAATTGTACATGAGGCAGGGACAGAGTACATCAATCACAGAGTTCTTGAACTCTTCACGTACACGTGATCAATCATGTACAGGTCATCCTGACCCGGTCGGCCATGTGACACATTGTTGATGGTGCGAGACTCCGTTACGTAGACGCTGGACGTCACATGACAATCTCAATGTATGTCTGACTTAATGATACATCTCTTGTAAGCACGTAGTGCCACAATGTGGTATATTACAGGAAATGTATGACGGGTTACTTCATGATATCTATTATGATCACGATGCATAACAATGTGGTGATATTACAAGCAATGTTGACGTTTCACTTGATTCATCACGTAGCGAAACGATGTGCGTACTACGGGCTAGGGTGACGTATTACTTAATGATATGCCTGTCCAGAGATGCCGCACATTTTTTATTCGGGGTAGGGACCTGGGGGCTGGGGGGTTGTGGGGGTGGGGGTGGGGCGGAGTCCTATCAAAACACAGTAATTGTCACCGAAAATTCGTGAAAAAAATAATTATGCTCCATATTGTCTGCCAAACAAACGGCATCGTTTTCTTTAGAAAAAAAATATAAATTTTCGCACACAGATTTCATTACCAAAATATCTTGGTTTGGTGCTGTAGCTGAAAAAATATCTACAATAGAACTCGAGGGGACCACTAATTTTAGTTCGTAATAACCGTAGTTCGTTATAAGCATATATACAGCATATGTACAATGGTCGGGACTTAAAATAAGTTCGTTATATCCATCAGTTCGTTAAAGCGTGTTCGTTTTAAACGTAATTTACTGTCGTCTCAATACAAAATGCAAGCCCCTTCTTCCCCTTGCAGGTACCTGTCCCTCCTACCCGGTGAAGATCCGGAAGAACGTCGTCACAGTCTCCACTGGAGATGGATGTGAAATGTGAGTAACACTTTCAGAAACCTCTACCGTTTGCAGCGGTAACGTTTTGTGTGTACTGTTCTACATAGTGCATGAGTGAGTGAGTGAGTGAGTGAGTGAGTATGGTTTTACGCCGCTTTCAGCAATATTCCAGCAATATCACGGCGGGGGACACCAGAAACAGAGTCATGAAAAGACTTAAATGTAAATCGCACAAAATCCAAATATGTATGTTCCTCCCACGAATAACATGACATATTACGAGACATTTAGTGACAAGCTGGTGTAAGTTTGTTTAATACAGTTACCTGCGTGAAGGTTTCTTGGTTTCCTGAGGCGGCCGGGTAGCCTAGTGGTTAAAGCGTTCTTTCGTCACGCCAAAGACCCAGGTTCGATTCCCGACATGGGTACAATGGGTGAAGCCCTTTTCTGGTGTCCCCCGCCGTGATATTGCTGGAATATTGCTAAAAGCGGCATAAAGCCATACTCACTCACTCACTCTTCGGCTCCTTTTTTGGTGGATTCAGTTTTATTTGCCTTCTGTCTGCTCTTGAGACGCAGTTATACATATGGATGCCCAAACTCGTTGCTGGTTGTTTAACGCCGTTCACATCAATATTCCAACTACATGAATAATTATTATTATTATTATTATTATTATTATTATTATTATTATTATTATTATTATGACACATGAAGTATATAGTTGTCATCTTTCTCCCCAGCGTCATCAAGTTGTCTGGACATAGCACCGGAAACGTCATGATACGGAAGCGGAACTGAAGATCACGTCACATGGGGAGTAGCGTCACCAATCGCGTATTTCCGGAAAGGGGCTAATGGTTAAGAGTGCGAATGGCCGGGGAGCGTTTTCAAGTTTGGATGGTGGGGGTTGTGGACGTGGTTGGGTGCGGTTGAAGTAAAGGATCATTTAAACCCCGAAGTCGCCCGAAAATATCTATTTCAAATGCCAGATGACAGTTCAAGACGAAGTTTGACAGAGGGAAGTCTCGACAACACAGGTCAAGGTCGTTGTTGGTGTACATAGTATTTCTGTGTGGCGAGTTACATCCTCATCCACATTCAAGTAAACTTGCACATCATCATGGCGTGAAGGATTTGTATTTCACTTTATTGTCAGAATATATATTTTTACAAATATTGGCATGGGTGTCGTTTATGTTCTGTTTTTTGTTGGTTTTTTTCAAACAATGAGTGAGTGAGTGAGTTAATATTTAACGTCACATAGGCATTATTTCAGCCATATCGTTACGAGAAAAAGTACTATATTCAAATTAGATATATTTAGATAGTATAAAACCTGTCGTCGAAGGACAGTAAAATAACTATATTTATCACAGATTGTATTTAAAACTAGCAGATAACCATAAAAATAGAACACCATATGTAACAGTACAAGATAAAAATGAGCTATAGATCGCAAGCCACTGAAGTGGTCCTTTGCTACCTGCATGGACCCCAGGATTTACACCATCCCTTCAGTCGCTGGCGATTGTACGTAAGTAAGTATGTAACCTATGCTGCTGTTGTTGCTGTCTCTGCTCCTCAAACTCCACCAACAATATCCATTTCTATTCAGACAGAGAGACATGGATCAATCTGTCAGCATAACTTCTGTGATTATTTCCAATGTGTCTTCAACTCAAACGATAAGCCAAGCTGAACCTATGAGTGGTAGGGGGCACGGGTGGCCCAGTCGTCTAAGGCGCCGCGATTCGCTGTGCAGAGTTGCGTCCCTTGGACACACCAGAAACCTTTGATTGTGGGTTCGAATCCCGGTTCACCCCGATTATGTTTCTAGGTTTGTCAGCACCATACCCGTGCTCGTGGGTTTCACCGAAGTGGTAAACGTCTGAGACCTGCATTACTTAGGGCTTTCCTCCCACATTAAGCTGACACGTGATATAACTGGAATACTGTTAAAAGCGGCGTTAAACACAACTCACTCACTCACTATGAGTGGTAAACCTGATGCTGTAAAGCCTGTTACTAAAGAGCCAGAGGATGTAGAACCAGCCACTGTTGAATACTCCGACATTGACAGGACATAATTCATACAGCTATTCCTCTTTCCCCAATCGTCAAGCCGTTGCAGTCTGGCTAACATTTCACATTGCCTTCACACTTTCCTCTTTGTATATCCCACCGTCTTCCCCTCTTCAGAAGGCTGAGTTTATGTCTGTATTTGACCACCTCCCTGAACCCCGTGTTCAACCTCTTATGAATGGACATAACCATCCATGGGGACGTTTTGATACGAAAGCTGAGGGCACGCGTCTTGAATATTTTATTACCAACAACAATTTATGGAAATTCAAAGATAGCTCAAACACGTTTTTTACATCCTGCAACATGGACTGGGATCTGTCACTTACAGATGCTAATTTAGTAAACGAATTTGACTGGTCAGACAATTTCAAGTCCGTGTGGGTTCAACCGTGTATGACCATTACAGTCAGAATCAGGATGTCCCCCAAAGCAGTATTTTGTCTGTCTCATTGGATCAGACAATCTTACTTCACGTGTAGAGATCCCTTAATCGAGCTAAGCTTGATTATGGCTTAATTGTATATGACGGTGCTTCTAAAAGTAACTAAGACAAAATTGTTATGGATGAGCAACTTCTTTATTACAAATGATTTGCTTGATAACGGTGTTAGAATCTACACCGAAACGTCGCCCAATTGTAATAAAGAAGTTGCTCATCCATAACAATTTTGTCTTAGTTACCATTCCAACTTCTAAATGCCACTCAAAGAAGTTATACGTCGTCTTCTAAAAGTAACTTAGAGAAATTAGATAGCATACACCATCAAGGACTGGGGCACTGTCTAGGAGCTTTTAGAACATCTCTTGTAGATAGTTTGTATGTGGAGGCGGATGGACCTTTGGTTAAACAACGTCGATTAAATTATCCCTCCGGTGTACAAGTAAATTACGTACAAACCTGTCCAATCAACCTCTTCATGAGGAACTGATTCAACTCATGCCAACGCTTTTACCGTCACATGGGATTTTGATTAGGCCTCATATTACCGATGCTATTATTGACTTGACTGAAGTAGATCTCTCTCTCACTAATTAAAACATCTGAAACAAATCAACCAATTTATCGACCCAAATATAACCAATGATGAACCTCATACAATACCTACACATCTATTATTTACAGATGGATCCAAGGATGGTGACACTGTTGTCAGCGCCACTGTCATTTGATCCAGGACTATATCACAACTAATACCAGATAACAGTTCCATTTTTACGGCCGAAGGACTAGAATATATAAATAAATAATCAAAACTTACTGTCTTGCCTTCAAGCTATTAAAAATCTGCCTCGTAGACATCCAATATTATTCAAAATTATTGAATTGTTTAATGTTCTTGCCACTAGCCAATATCACATCGTTTTTTGTTTATTACCGAGCCATGTTGGAATCATAAGTAACACAATGGCTGATGCTGCAGCTAAAGCGACACTGAACAAATCTGTGACACCACTTATGCTTTCATACAGCGATAATAAACGTGTGATCAGGTGTTACACATGAATATTTATTGAAAGGTGAAGATACTCTGTTCTGTATTGTGATGAGAGAATCACAGTCAAGCATGTCCCGCTTGCCTGTATTTATTTGTCCACCAAAAGGGATAAGTGTTTCGAAGTTTCATCCATCAAGGATCTGTTTTAACTCTTTTTTAAAGGAAATTGTATTGATCGATAAATTTTATTTGCTTTGTTTTGTAAGTAAATTAACTTTTACAATTAGTAGTATGAATCTGTAATTATAACTGAGACTGTTAGTGGCTGTATCCTCGAATGGGGTTAAGTAGTGAAAAACTTTTGTTCCCCTGAGAGGGTATGTAAGACCACGTCATTTAAAGTATTTCAACCGTAGATTATTTGTGTATCATAATTGATGGCTAATCTTGTGAACAATAACCAATGACTAAAGGGATGGTGTAAATCCTGCTGGGGAAGCAGAGGTACTGTAAGTCCACATAGTCTCTGGTATGGTGGCCTAACTTTAGTTGCTCGTGATTTATAGCCTGTTTTTATAATGTGTGGTCTTTCATAATCTGATCATTTTCTTGTTTTAAAACTAGTTTAAAAAGAGATGTCTGTGTTATATTGTTGCTTGTTGTACTGTCCTTCGACAACAGTTTTTTCATGTATATGTTCAAGTCACGATATGACTGAAATATTGCCAATGTAATTAACTCACTCACTAACTCATTAGCAAAATAATGCACCGCACGAAAAATGATTGAAATACTTGCAATTTTATCAATCACTACCGAAGCCGGAAGCACGTACCGCATCTCACACATCAAGCAAAATGAGCAAAAGGTAAAATTCGTGAAAATTCTGAAGAGATTCATTTTAAAAGAAATTACATAATTTACTGATGCATAATCTGCACCTGTTTACTATTCTATGACCTGGGAAGCAGTCGCGGTTGTCGTCACTCCAATGTTTAATATTTTCTTGTGATTGCCGGAATCGTAATGGATTCCACACTCGATGATTATTGGAATTATTGTCTGACAACAACGGCGGCGGGGAGCGATAAAACATACTGGTATGACAACAAAATTGTTATTGGTCTATAATAGCAAGGATTACAATTAATTATATTAAAGATGTCGTTGAAAACTTTTCCTTAGAAACCCCGTCCTAAGAATGAATAAAACTAGGTACCCGGTGGCTGAATCTAAGTGAGTTCATACCCAAAACAGATTTGTACCCAAGTCATTTTATACACAACAGATCTTTGTACCCAAGTCATTTTATACACAAAAGATCTGTGTACCCACAACCCTAGGGAATTTGGTACCGAATAAAATAAAAAGATAAATACTTCAGTACATAACTATACTAAAAAGCAGAACATAATATAACACTCCATCATGTTCGTGATATTACTGTGACTATGACTGTGATCCTTGGGTGAGACCGATGTCTGTGTTGACTTTGCAATCGCAAGGGAATCACATGCACAGTAAACCTGAAAGATCTTTTTTCCCGTGTAAGCGGGCATCTCATCTTGAAAGAATTTGGTTTGTATCAGAACAACTAATTCCTTGTTTGTAAATGTGGTATGATGCTTTTATGAACAGAGATTATTGAAACATGGTCTGTCCAAGAGTTTAAAGTATCGTAAAATTAGGAAAATACAAAATCACTAGACATTTTCGGTACAAACTCGTTTCATTCCCTCATTCATGGAACGATGGGATATAAAACATTTCATGTCTGTGTGATTTCTTTAAACATTATAAAGCGAATATGTTTTTTTACTTAATCTATTAGCTATACAGTTCATCTTTTGCCCTAAAAGTAGCAGACAATAAAAATCAAGATGTGGACGCCTAAGAAATTTGGGCTTTTAAAGTAATAATTATATTTGAATCGTTTGACGTGAATCTATCAAAGAAAAGCCCCTTTTATTTGATTGGGACTAACAATTTCCAGGTCTTAAAAGAGTATACAAGGAATATCATATTTCTTTTCATTGGAAAAAATACCTTTCTTGACAATTCTTGTTTCATTATGATAGGGGCCCTTTTATGTAGACCAACTGAAGAACTTTAGATACTATGATGGCATACAGGGAAAAACAGGTTTGCAGAAGTACATCGTTTTGCAAAATACACCACGTACATTCATTGTGTGTACTCAACAGGAAAGTCGTGTACCCTGTTCCTTTTTCAAAAGATGACATTCTCTGACAAATGTTTGGTATCTCATCTACCTATGAGTCACCCAGGTTTTTGTGTTTAACATACATAAATCTCATGTACTGTTATAAAAAAAACATTGATCATATTCGTATTACAGTTATATTTTAGCATTGTTTTGTTTCGAAACAAAACACTTGATATTCAAGAACATTGTCAATAAGAGTTTTGTGTGGCTTTGTAACTGATCTTGTCTTATTACTAGTATTTATTTTTCATAGAATACTAAAATTAAATGATGACATCAAACAGTTGCATCTTCACGTAATTGATAATAACTAAAGATTGATCAGTTACACTGTGCTTGAGCATTGACAAATCTATAGTGTCTAATTATAAGCGCATAATCAGTGTGGAAAAAAATATTAACTTGATATAAAAATGTAACTGAAAATGTTGAACGCTTTAAACAGCTGTAAGTTATTAAGCATTAACAAATCTATCATCAATACGCATCCATGGTGGTGTTATCATTTATCGAATTAATTAATAAATGTAGCAAAGTTGTTCCATAACCATGCGAGAATTTATAAATTTATAATAAACAATTATTAAATTATCACAAATTTAATGTGGAACTAATACAGGACATATTTAATGAGTATTTTGGTAACATGTACATCACCAGTTGCCTATCATATTCAGCATAGCGTGAATGTTAGGTGAAACAGGTTTTGTCACATCCATTTTGGGGCACCTGTTGTGGAGGGTGGTCCATGAACTTGCATCATAATCAGTAGCATTTATCAATTATCTTTTGTCAACTACACAAGACATGTTTGCACCTAGACATTAAAACCCCCACTGTTCTGCAAAACAAACATATTTCTTAAACGCTTTTCTTTACTTATAAACAGCGGAATATCTGCATTTGAACACAACAGTCGTAATACTAATGGAATCTGTTCTCTTTTTGTGTTTGTGTTTTATATGCATGAAGTGTTCATTGAAGTCCAAATAACCTCTCTTTTTATAATTCTATTTACATGTATTTTAGTTTAGTCAAACATGATGCATATTTGTAGCATGTAATTATTGCAGGTGTATTGTTTGCAAAAATATAGGTATTGTTAAAAATGAAAGTATACACTTGAAAATTGGATTTCAACATAGCCTTATGAACATGGAAAAAAGGTCCAAAAACAAAAAAACTATGATACCTGTATCAGATGCATAAACATCGAATAACTATGTTTCATTTTAGCCACCATCAAACATGGGTGTATTATATCTGTCCAGGCTGTTTACTTTGTTACATTAAATGAATTTCTCATTTTTATTTTTATTTATTTGTTACAAAAGGAGAGCTTTTTTTGCGGTTTATAATATTTCTTTTCTTTACTTATAAGCAGCGGAATATCTGCATTTAAACACACCAGACGTAATTCTAATGGAATCTGTTTCGGCAGATAATCGACACTGATGTTCTCTAGAGTTCGTGTTTCATACTTATGAAATGTTTGTTGAAGTCCAAATAACATCACTTTTTTATAGTTCTATTTACATGTATTTTAGTTTAGCCAACCATGATGTATATTTGTGGCATGTGATTATTGCAGGTGTATTGTTTGCAAAAGTATAGGTATTATTAAAAATGAAAGTATACACTTGAAAATTGGATTTGACCATAGCCTCATGAACGTGAAAACAAACCGTTAATGGGCTGAAAACAGGACCCGAAACACTGCACACTAAAGGTAAAATAACAACTATGATATCTGTATCAGATGCATAAACATCGAATAACCTATTCTTGCTTGTTTCATTTTAGCCACCATCAAACATGGGTGTATTATATCTGTCCAGGCCGTTTACTTTAAGTGAATTTCTCATTTTTGTTTGTATTTATTTGTTACAAAAGGAAAGCTTTTTTTGCCGTTTATTATAAAATGATGTACAGCCACCTTTGCAGGTTACTATGGGAGTATTGCTGATTGTAATTTGGAAATGTAGTTTCGAATCCGTTATACTGGTTGCAAAAGGCGATCGGGTGGTCATGCTTCGAGATTTTGTTAATGGCGTGTCATCGTACCCCAAAGGCGTGCATCTTTGCTCCCAACATCAATCACTGGATTGTGTGATTGTTTGATTCGCTTATGTACAGGCCGCCGTCACACAGCTGGAATATTGCTGAGTGCGGCGTTAAACAATAAACTAATACAACTTTTTGGCTGCCAGCATCTACACCGTGCTATTTCTTCATCTGGGTCCCGGAAGCCTCTGACTATTATCCATACGTCCCGTACTTGCCATGTGTGGCTCACTCGCGATATAATACCTTTCAAGTCATAAGGTGTTACAGGCCTAGAGGTGATTGTCCTTGCGGAACGGCCCTCAGTCTAAGCACTTACCACTCAACTAAGTCGTTTCGCGTTCAGAGAAACAAGTCAACAAGAACCTTTTCACATCTTTTTATTAACGTGACAGACGCAACAAACAAATTTCGACCAGACTGGAACTCGGAACACTGGAACCACACTTCCTCATTCTGTCATCACTTACTCGTGTTGTATCGTTCCTTATTTATCATGTTAGCCATATTGTACTCGAATTAACATTACTCCCAAATCGATACAATTGAATACTAACATTTTCTGGATTGTGAGTTTACAATCGATTTTTGTAAACACACCTGAAACAGTACACCATTTGTTTTCCTTAATGCCATCACTGAATTATGCATTGTCTTGCATTATGTTGTCACTTTCTGATCGGAAAAGACTAGACTCAGTGTGGGATGTCTACAAACAAAACACATAACGTACATGCATGAAGCAAAACAGGGTCTACTGGTCAACAGAATATTTGACCCTAACATCTATTGGATTTTAATTGTATTCTTTCTGAGTTGAAAGAACACAAAACTATACTTACGATCACTGATAAATTAAGAAATATACCACAAAACACATATGCCCGTTTGGATAATTATCGAAGTCCACAATGGTAATGAAGAAGGGACATATGTCAATCCACTTGGCCATGAAACTACACCACCACGAAAACGTTCAAGTGTCACTGGTCCCTACAAAACGGAGGTGGTTACCTCTGCCTGTAAAGGCATCTTTAACTGATAACATCTCCTGCCTGTGGACAAGAGCTGCCCAAGGCCCAGGAAAGACTAGACTAGGGTGGGATGTGTACAAACAACATATATAACTTACATGTACATATGAAGCAAAACAGGGTGTACTTAGTTGGTTGGTTGGTTGTTTAACGCCGCACTCAGCAATATTCCAGCTTTATGACGGAGGTCTGTAAACAATCGAATCTGGACCGGACATGTCATGAGCATCGATCCACGCAATTGGGATCGAGGCCATGCATCAACCAAGTCAGCCAGCCTGACCACCCGATTCCGTAAGTCGCCTCCTACGACAAGCATAGTCGACGTTTACGGCAAGCATGGATTGCTGAAGACCGGATATTCTACCCCGGATCTCCTCGGGTCTTGGATTTAGTTGAAAAAACTCAAAACTATACTTACGATAACTGATAACAGCTATTGAATATTCATAATATTTTCTTCCTGAATTGGAAGTACTCAATATTGTAACTTACGTTAATTTGAGAAATCCATACTGTGTTTCTCTTTATAATATAACCACAAAGCACATATACAAATTGAGATAATTGTCCAGTCCACAAAGAAGGTACATATGTCAATCTACTTGGTGATGAAGCTGCACCACAATTCACTAAAACTTCAAGTGTCACTGATCCAAAAAGAACGTCTGTACGTGTACGCCATGTTGTAGCCGATGTTGACGAGACATCACTGTCTTCTTCGTGTAGGAAACGGTGACGAAGTTCAACTATCGCTGCTGTTTATCAACATAACGTTCTTGTGCAATAGTTGCAAAGGTCTGTCAATGTTTCACAATATGTAACTGAAAATCAGTGGCGTCTGTGTATCATCACAAGTCTGTTCTGGCGTTTGTCCAGACTGAATAATCCCTGCTCCCTGGCAGTGTCCGCTATGTGGAGTTTCCTATTGTTGTCGATGAGGAGTCAGCCCTGACTCTGTGTAATCCTGGTTGACAAAGTGAAATATTTTAACTATTTAGCTCGCGCGACCTTCAGATTTTAGTGTTTTTGTTCGGTGGTACTCAGTAATGATTGATGCTTAATAAGAAAATATGAATGATCTAAAGGCACTGCATACTGTGCATGGAAAAAAACCATCTGTCTACATGGTGGTACATATTGTTGTGCACTTTTACGGACGTTAAAATGAATAAAGATGTTTCACATTTCCAAGACAGTCTGCACCGGAACTGATTGATTCTTGTTAGAATAATTGTCATCCTGCTTTGAAGAGAAAAATGAAGACACTTGTTGGCGTGTTGATTGAGTACTGACGTCGCTTTGAAAGTTATTTCACATCGATTTAGTTCCAAAGTTAGAGGAAAACCCAGTTAGTGAAACCCAGGCGCAATGGTGTTGACAAATCAAGGTTCATATTCAGAAACAGACTGATATTCGAACCAACGATCAGTGCATTATTAGTGAGTGTGAGTGGGTATTGTGTTACGCCGCCGTTGGCAATATTCAAGCAATATAACGGCGGGGAACATCAGAAATGGGCTTCACCAATTGTACCCATATGGGGAATCGAACCCGGGTCTTCGGCGTGACGAACGCTTTAACCACTTGGCTACCCCACTGCCCCATATTTTATATAACTGAAAAACCAATGTGTAGAGACTGTCGCATGAGACAATTAGGCCAGCCGTGCCTCTGGTTCTAATTACTGCAGTCAAATAGAACTGTTGTGTGACGTAGGGCATCACTTGTTTCTGTACCATGCTGGTGATGTATCCAGGCAGTTACTGACAGATGACGCTGACGTCTTCACCATGAATACAGTTGTGAGTGCCCCATTGTCGGTGACAACACTGGCTCAGAAATGCCTCGTTCCCAGCACAATTTACATCATCCAGATGTATTGGGCCACTTCCTTGACCATAGTAAGCAGAAGCCTTCGGTATTGCGTTGTCTCTGGAAATATGTTTAAGAACGTTGTTAAAATGATAATGATCGTAATGATCGCATTAACCAATTTCTTTATAAATGATTTACACGCACTTTCAGCATGCTTAAATCTTGCCACGAATCGTATTGAGAAAATCAAACCTTCCTCTCTCTCATGCAAAAATATGTGTAAAACATCCAGACTCAAGACGTCAACACATTTTACACATATTTCTGCGCGTAGTTGACTGGCACCAAACCTCACACAAAACTGTTTACAAGTACAATCATTATGGGAATAATTACTTTCTATATCAATAAGTATGTTTGTGACCGATCCGCCCACTTGACATTTAGTGACCAAAGTTAAAATATATCACAGGTAATGTTATGTCACAGAATGAAGATAATTATTGCCACCGTTGTTACAGTGTGATATATGTTTAATTATTTTTCATGAAGTTATTTCTCGCCCAAAGACTAGTTTATTTCACACAAATGAGGAATAAACCTCTCTCTACGCATAAGTTATCATTATATTGCCAACAATTCTAGTATAATTGTTTGTAAACAGGAAATTTTCCCACACTGGATAAGTAAGTTTAAGTATCATACCAAAGTAACCTGTGTCCATCTCTGCAGGAAGGGAAAATGTAAAAAACAGTTATAGTTCATTATGTCAGTTTTATTTAGTCACTATTGTTTCCCCTGAAAAGAATGTTTAAATGTTAACAAAATGCCTGTCCAAGTGATGGAGCAATACATACATGTTTTGCATGGAGGATAACATTAATGAACACATTTTGATCAATTACAATGTTGGGTGTTCTAATATACTCACGAGGGCAATCCAAGTTCTCTACAGACGACTCTGGCATCAACATCAGTGAATAGGTCGTCACAGACTGTTCCCCATACAGACTGGTACCTAATCTCAAGACGGCCAGACTGGGGACCCGGAACAAGTCGAACGATTTCGTCATGTTGCATTGTACCAGCATCTGTAGATATATATGTATTATCAACACTGGTTTCCACGGCCAATATGCACATGGCATGACGCACATGCTTGAAAGACCCATGACATACATGCATGAAAGACACATGTCATGCATGAGTGAAAGAGACATGACACACATGCTTGAAAGGCATGGCATACATGCTTGAAAGACCCATGTTATACATACATGAGAAACACATAACATACATGCATGAACGAGACATGCCGAGCATGCATGAAAGACCCATGGCATACATGCATGAAGAACACATGTCATGCATGAGTGAAAGAGACATGACATACATGCTTGAAAGGCATGGCATACATGCATGAAAGACCCATGTTATACATACATGAGAGACACATAACATACACGTATGAACGAGACATGACGAGCATGCATGAAAGACCCATGGCATACATGCATAACAGACATGACGCACATACATGAAAGAAACATGACATGCATGCGTGAAAGACACATGACATATATGCATGAAAGACACATCACATACATGCATGAAAAACTCATAACATATATGCATGAAAGACACATGACATACATACGTGAAAGAAACATGACACACATGCTTGAAAAACTCATAACATATATGCATGAAAGACACATGACATACATGCGTGAAAGAGACATCACATACATGCATGAAAGACACATGACATACATGCGTGAAAGACACATGACACACATGCTTGAAAGAGACATCACATACATGCATGAAAAACGCATAACATATATGCATGAAAGACACATGACATACATGCGTGAAAGAAACATGACATACATGCTTGAAAGAGACATCACATACATGCATGAAAAACGCATAACATATATGCATGAAAGACACATGACAGACATGCGTGAAAGAGACATCACATACATGCATGAAAGAGACATGGCACACATGCTTGAAAGACACACGGCAGACAAACTTGAAAGAAACATGATATACATGCATGAAAGACACATGACATACATGCAAGAAAGAGACATACCTTCCTGCATGGTGGACACATACCTACATGCATGAAAGACACATGAAATACATGCAAGAAAGAGACATACCTTCCTGCATGGTGGACACATACCTACATGCATGAAAGACACATGACATACATGCAAGAAAGAGACATACCTTCCTGCATGATGGACACATACCTACATGCATGAAAGACACATGACATACATGCAAGAAAGAGACATACCTTCCTGCATGGTGGACACATACCTACATGCATGAAAGACACATGACATACATGCAAGAAAGAGACATACCTTCCTGCATGGTGGACACATACCTACATGCATGAAAGACACATGACATACATGCAAGAAAGAGACATACCTTCCTGCATGGTGGACACATACCTACATGCATGAAAGACACATGACAATACATTGAAGGAAAGAGACATACCTTCCTGCATGGTGGACACATACCTACATGCATGAAAGACACATGACATACATGCAAGAAAGAGACATACCTTCCTGCATAATGGACACATACCTACATGCATGAAAGACACATGACATACATGCAAGAAAGAGACATACCTTCCTGCATGGTGGACACATACCTACATGCATGAAAGACACATGACATACATGCAAGAAAGAGACATACCTTCCTGCATGGTGGACACATACCTACATGCATGAAAGACACATGACATACATGCAAGAAAGAGACATACCTTCCTGCATGGTGGACACATACCTACATGCATGAAAGACACATGACATACATGCAAGAAAGAGACATACCTTCCTGCATGGTGGACACATACCTACATGCATGAAAGACACATGACATACATGCAAGAAAGAGACATACCTTCCTGCATGGTGGACACATACCTACATGCATGAAAGACACATGACATACATGCAGGACAGAGACATACCTTCCTGCATGGTGGACACATACCTACATGCATGAAAGACACATGACATACATGCAAGAAAGAGACATACCTTCCTGCATAATGGACACATACCTACATGCATGAAAGACACATGACATACATGCAAGAAAGAGACATACCTTCCTGCATGGTGGACACATACCTACATGCATGAAAGACACATGACATACATGCAGGAAAGAGACATACCTTCCTGCATGGTGGACACATACCTACATGCATGAAAGACACATGACATACATGCAAGAAAGAGACATACCTTCCTGCATAATGGACACATACCTACATGCATGAAAGACACATGACATACATGCAAGAAAGAGACATACCTTCCTGCATGGTGGACACATACCTACATGCATGAAAGACACATGACATACATGCAAGAAAGAGACATACCTTCCTGCATGGTGGACACATACCTACATGCATGAAAGACACATGACATACATGCAAGAAAGAGACATACCTTCCTGCATGGTGGACACATACCTACATGCATGAAAGACACATGACATACATGCAAGAAAGAGACATACCTTCCTGCATAATGGACACATACCTACATGCATGAAAGACACATGACATACATGCAAGAAAGAGACATACCTTCCTGCATGGTGGACACATACCTACATGCATGAAAGACACATGACATACATGCAAGAAAGAGACATACCTTCCTGCATGATGGACACATACCTACATGCATGAAAGACACATGACATACATGCAAGAAAGAGACATACCTTCCTGCATGATGGACACATACCTACATGCATGAAAGACACATGACATACATGCAAGAAAGAGACATACCTTCCTGCATGGTGGACACATACCTACATGCATGAAAGACACATGACATACATGCAAGAAAGAGACATACCTTCCTGCATGGTGGACACATACCTACATGCATGAAAGACACATGACATACATGCAAGAAAGAGACATACCTTCCTGCATGGTGGACACATACCTACATGCATGAAAGACACATGACATACATGCAAGAAAGAGACATACCTTCCTGCATAATGGACACATACCTACATGCATGAAAGACACATGACATACATGCAAGAAAGAGACATACCTTCCTGCATGATGGACACATACCTACATGCATGAAAGACACATGACATACATGCAAGAAAGAGACATACCTTCCTGCATGGTGGACACATACCTACATGCATGAAAGACACATGACATACATGCAAGAAAGAGACATACCTTCCTGCATGGTGGACACATACCTACATGCATGAAAGACACATGACATACATGCAAGAAAGAGACATACCTTCCTGCATAATGGACACATACCTACATGCATGAAAGACACATGACATACATGCAAGAAAGAGACATACCTTCCTGCATGATGGACACATACCTACATGCATGAAAGACACATGACATACATGCAAGAAAGAGACATACCTTCCTGCATGGTGGACACATACCTACATGCATGAAAGACACATGACATACATGCAAGAAAGAGACATACCTTCCTGCATAATGGACACATACCTACATGCATGAAAGACACATGACATACATGCAAGAAAGAGACATACCTTCCTGCATGGTGGACACATACCTACATGCATGAAAGACACATGACATACATGCAAGAAAGAGACATACCTTCCTGCATGGTGGACACATACCTACATGCATGAAAGACACATGACATACATGCAGGAAAGAGACATACCTTCCTGCATGGTGGACACATACCTACATGCATGAAAGACACATGACATACATGCAAGAAAGAGACATACCTTCCTGCATAATGGACACATACCTACATGCATGAAAGACACATGACATACATGCAAGAAAGAGACATACCTTCCTGCATGGTGGACACATACCTACATGCATGAAAGACACATGACATACATGCAAGAAAGAGACATACCTTCCTGCATGATGGACACATACCTACATGCATGAAAGACACATGACATACATGCTTGAAAGAGACATACCTTCCTGCATGATGGACACATACCTACATGCATGAAAGACACATGACATACATGCAAGAAAGAGACATACCTTCCTGCATGGTGGACACATACCTACATGCATGAAAGACGCATGACATACATGCAAGAAAGAGACATACCTTCCTGCATAATGGACACATACCTACATGCATGAAAGACACATGACATACATGCAAGAAAGAGACATACCTTCCTGCATGGTGGACACATACCTACATGCATGAAAGACACATGACATACATGCAAGAAAGAGACATACCTTCCTGCATGATGGACACATACCTACATGCATGAAAGACACATGACATACATGCAAGAAAGAGACATACCTTCCTGCATAATGGACACATACCTACATGCATGAAAGACACATGACATACATGCAAGAAAGAGACATACCTTCCTGCATAATGGACACATACCTACATGCATGAAAGACACATGACATACATGCATGAAAGAGACATACCTTCCTGCATGGTGGACACATACCTACATGCATGAAAGACACACCTACACACATACACGAAACATAACATACATGAGTGAAAGACACATCACATACATGCATGAAAGAGACATCACATACATGCATGAAAGAGAGGACATAGCTGCGTGAAAGACCCATGTAATACATGCATGGAAGACACATCATATACATGCAAGAAAGAGACATCACATACATGCATGAAAGACATGTGACGTACGTGCATGAAAGAGTGAGTGAGTTAATGTTTAACGTCACATCGGCAATATCCTGACGAGAAGTAATGCATTAATAACAGATATATGTAGACTTGATAAAAACTTGTCATCGAAGGACAGTAAAATAACTAGAATATCACAATATATCACAGTATATTTAAAACTAGCTGAGGAACATTTAAAAGCAGAAAGGATTAACAACACAATATAAAAATGGGCTAGAGATCGTCAGTAACTGAAAGGAGATCATCATACCAGGGACCAGGGGGACTTACAGTGCCTGTGCTTCCTGCATGGACCCCGGCAGGATTTATATCAT